TTCTCTTCCAACACTGCCCTCATACAACACAAGGACTTACAAATAGACCTGACAGACAATCCAAAACTTTATCCCTTTTTACAGACTCCCAGGGTGAAGCTCTGAGCCAGATTCACTGCAGAATCAAACTGGAGATGCAAGGTGTTTGGCACCTGAAAACATTTTTAAAATTAGCTTGCAGTAGCCAAGACTTTTATGCATCTTTCTAGGAAACAAGTATTTTTGACTTCACCATTGGGTAGCTGGAAAGATTCTACAGATCACGACGGCAACAGCGACCCGTCAGGAAGCCTATCAAGGTCACAGCTACAGGAGTGTTTAAGGTGTGACAACAGACAGATGGGTCACACAGCCATCTGCCTAGAATTTTTTTTTTTTCTTTTGGGGGGGGGGGGGACTGAATGTCTATGAGCGTCTTTTATGCACAAATTTTCCTTACAGAATAGTTGGCTTCAAAGGTTTCAAATTTCCCCAGGCTTGGTTTTCCTCTTCAGCACTCTCTATTGTAGTGTATTGATCTGATTGGTTGATGTAGCCCAGTGGCCATCTAATCTACAGCCAAGTATTTTTTTTTTTTAGTGCCTGCCCTTTTAAAAGACTCCAAGGACAATTTCCCAGATGGTTCAGAGTTGCAAACCATCTGGCACATCAGGTGAGTTAGGACCTAAATTCATGCCAACAGGTTCTGCAACAGACTGGGTTCTATGAAGTCCCTGGCTCACCATGGTAACACTACTAAATATTCACAGGTTAGAGATGCAATCTGTAAAGTGTTCTTTGTAGTGTGAAAACATTAATACAGAGAAAACGCTTTATGATGTTGCAATTTTAAGAAGCTAAAATGGGTTGCTAGTTTGTCTTATTCTAGGTTCATTTACATTCAGGCTAAAGCATTATAACAGCGTTACTATAAGACAGAGCCAAGAACCACACTTTTCCTTCCCTCTGAAAGCCACTACTTTCAGCAAGAATGCAGACTGTTAGTTAACTTGCCATATCCTGCAAGCTCGAAGTGCTAATTCTACGCTTTTCCTTATTTTTTGTCATATATAAGTTTACCGTTTCGGATGCTTATTTTAAATGTGGTCAGCGGTTAAAATAAACATTTTTTTGCATTTTATTGAGGTCACATAAAGTGTAATATGGTCTTGCAGGCACAAAGGTCTGCTTGTGAGCACAGCAGTCCCACACACCTGCTGTGCAAACCTGCTGTGTGCAAGGGGCACCCAATCAGAATAAATCTGTTTTAAAGGCATGGGGGCCTCTATGGGAGAGCCTTGCTTGGGGAGTAGATGAACATGGGCTGCACCAACAAGATTAAAGAAATTATTTTATTTTTTTTTTTAATGTGAATCACTCATAGCTACTCTAGTAGAGCAAAAGATTTAAAAATTAGAATTGGAAACAAGCATTACAGGCCCCGTTTCATTCCCCCAAGCTAGACACTTAGAGCTATGGTCTAAATCCGCTGTCATGTAAGTTTCTTTTATTAAGTTTTATAGTGAGAAAAATCTTCCTGACAATGGCAGAAGGCAAGAAAAAGGACCAAATAATACTCTTTTCGAAAATCCACACTGCAATTTTTATGGCTTGAGGCACCCCAATCCCAATTTGTAATCTTAGTGCAGCCAAAAACAGATGCTATATATGCTGACAACATTTCAAAGTACTAGGATTAAAATAAAATGGGCTACTTGCTTAAGCAGGTTATTTTAAGGAAGCTTTTAAATACTTCAAATTACATATCTTTGGTTAGCTATTACACAACAATTCTGATGACATACACATAGTTTACGGGATAATTTAAACATCTCATTTATTCCTATGATTGCTGGCACTCTATTTGTCTCATTCTGCATGCCATTCTCACTTCACTGGACTAATATAAAGGTTGGAACTACTGGCATCTAATCTGCACTGGAGAAATGAACGGACCAGTAATTCAAATAAATCTGGTTTTTAAGCCAAGACAATTTGGATTATTCAGATGACAACCCACAGTGGTTAAAGAGGGTGGTTACAACTGCAGAACATGTGTATGAATGAATGTGTTTCAATGTCCTACTGTCTTTGCGGTCTGGTGGCATTCTCAAGCCTCACCCTTTATTCACTCCCTTTTTAGTTCATGTTACTTTTGCAATCTCTTTGTTGCAGGGAGTGACCTTTAGCTCGGGCTGACTCGTAATAACCAACCCAACATTAGTTTATGAGAAGAGTGTTAGTTCACTGGTTGGTTGCCAGGAAAAACAAAACAAAACAACAAAACTCAAAGTCTCACTGAAGTGGCAAAAGTCACTTATAGATAGATATTACTGTTTACACAGCTGGTTTCTCCATTTATTAATTTTATACGCGTCAGGCAGGAAATCCAAACAGTGGGTTTATTTCAAGAGTAAACGACAGCCCCAATAGAGCGGCAAAACCCACAGGCAAACATTCACCTACCATTTATCAACGTCAAACATGGCTTATCATGTTAAATGCGCAAAAAGCCCAATAATAGCCAATTAAACACTCATTCTACTATTGGAACAGAGTCCTTGCTGACTGTTGCTTTAATGGTATCATTAACTGGCGGCTTCCTGTGTGGTGTTGTAAAATTTAGATTTTTAAAGCTTATACTAGAGGTCTGTATCTCTGTAATTATGCATAGTGTTACCAAGGATATGTAATATCTCAAATATAATATAAGAGCTCTCAGCTCTTGAATTAACAGCAGTTTTAGATGCTCCCTATACATACAATTATAATTAATTTAATTAAAAAAAAAAAAGAATGCTGCATGGATAAACAGTTTAAAATGGATGGATGTTTAGATGAATGGATAGATGGCTATCATAAATGTGCATGAGTAGCTAACTACTTGTCAACAAGGCAAATTTGGTAAGGGGTGGCCCTACTTATATCAATACTTGATGGCCTAAACACTCAGTGGCTCAATCTAGTAACCTGACATGGAATGTAATTTTTACATAGCTGATAGTATGACAAGCTGAGTACCTGCTGAGAAAAACTGCAGGAGAAGTAGCCTAAGGCATAACAAGGGAATGTGCTGACGACTCCAGTGCACTGTTGAGCAATCTGAGTACAGTTTGAACATGTATTCAATGATTCTTCAAACTCTAGGTTTTTATGGTTACAAGGCACTGACCCATAATGTTTCAGCAGACAGTTGACACAGCACAAAAGTAGACACCTGAATCCGATAAATGATTATGATATAATCCTAGCTTTGACATGCATGGACAAACACAAAAACCAACAAATGATTTTCTCTTAAATTTACTGATGTGACAAAATAAATAAATAAATAAAAAATAATAATCCATGATATAACCATAAATTTTTATTGAAGGGTTTTAAGAGCTTGGTGGCCATCTAGCTGATACAACTGCTTACATCACATCTGATAAGCAAAACCAGTAAAGTGAGGACAAATGGCATATATTTATATACATTTATCTTTCGTAGGCATTTCACTGACATTGAACAAGAGACTGACTAATTTGTAGTGCATAGCTTCACAGAGGTAAAACTCTCGTGTTTCTTACTTTGAGCCTTCAGGCTTAACACTAACCAAAGCCAGGTGACTGTGATCCATCTACAGACTACAGCTTAGATAAAGAATAAAAGCTTTAGATCTTTAGCTGCCTTGGCATCATGCATGTCAGACTATTCTGAGGTTCTGTAATCCACACTAAACTGCCACAATGAACCCTACTCCAAAAAATCAAATGCTGCAGAGTAAAATAAATAAATAAATAAATAAATTGTAACACATTCCCATAAAGACTTTCCCCTCAATCTGCCCACAGTGCTGCAAGTATGTCAAATATCCACCAAATACTCAAACTGACATATAGATATGGACAAAAACAAAATAGACTATGATTACTGCTGAAAAAGTCATTAGTGAAAATAAATGTCTAGCTATTAATAAAACAAAGTGCATCATTTTAAACTAAATAATTTAAGAACAAATAGGTGATTTATTACATTTAAAAAAAGGTAAACATTTTTCTTTTCATTTGTCAAAAGGAAAAGAGATGTCATTAGAAGACACTCCATTCATTGTTAGTTAATTTGCTACCATGCACATTCTTATTGTTGTTATAACAGGCAGAGAAAAATAAAGCGTGAGAAATTAGAGCATCAGTTACAATCAAAGAATAAAGGTTACTGCCATCATTGTTTAAAAAAAAATCTATAACTAACATAAAAATAAACGTGTATGCTTAATAAATATATGAATGCTGCTGCTCAGCTCATTTGGCTATACCTTGGAAATCAGTTCTCCTCATTCAGTCTGGTGCCAAAAGATTGCCCTACAGTTATAACTCTGCTATAATTACGATTTTAAAAACTGGGCAAAAATCAAGGATAAGCTATATACTACAACTGTAACAAAAAAGGAGCTGTCATCTATGTGTAGCCTAAATCTTTTCGCAAAACACTGCTTACAGGTATAATACTTGTGATTTGGTGCCAGAAATATTTGCAAGTCCTCTGTCTGCCAAGTTGTGTGCTTTTTCCAACATCTGAGAAGTGGCCAAGTGCAGCAATTATTCAGCAAAGGAAGAGAAAGACAGCAGAGATAAGCTGTCTTGCATGGGAAGATCTGCTCTCTCATGACACAGAGCCCTAGGAGCTTATCCTACATGTGCACAACAGGAAGCCAAAGCGAGTTCACCGCACACGAACACACGCGCGCATGCATGCATCAAAACCCACGGCCTAATAAGATCCACGACATTACTATTGCAACTACAAAAAGCTCACTAAAGCAAACATTACTAATGGATTGCGCTAATTGAAGCCAGTCATGTATTTACGGTGACAGTTCAGTGAACCGCTGGACAGCTGTCACCTCGTATTTTTACTCAGCTGCAGTAACACAAAAGCTGATATCTGACAGCAAGTGAGCCTTAATGTGGAACATCAAAAGATCGAGGGAGACATAACCGTAGATCATCACAGTGACAGTGGACGGTCTGACTCACCGAGTGGTTGACTCCCCACATAACCACGCTGAACAGAGGGTCGCTGGCACGGAAGAGCTTCACTTTTTGGGCAACGAAGTGTTTTTTCTTGGTCTTGGTTTTGCTCGCTATGGATGCGGCAATGCTGCTCGCCGAAGCCATCTTTAAGAAAACTGGCTGGTTTATTGCAGACTGTGCGATAATCCCGACAGCGTGTCTTCCCTTGAAGCTGGCACAGCGGCCACCAGCTCACGGTTCAGCAGTGTCAGTACTATTCATTTAGCCATCCCAGCAAACCAAGGTGCCCCGATTCTTTTCCTCATCTAAAGTCCCACAGAGCTCGGCTGTCGCTGTGGCCCTAGCTCGAAAGAAACTAACGTGAGGAAATACGAAGCGTTTAGCCTAATACTGCTTGCTCTTCTTCACTTAACCGTCATACGCTTCTCCGCCAGCCCACATCATAAGTCACTACTCTTCCTTCCTTAACTCTCGACTGGAGCTCTCTGCACCTCCTGCGATGTAAAGTCTCACCGAGGTAGCGTTAGCATAGCCGAGAATAGCTTGTTAGCTAGCAAACATCAAAGCTAAATTTCGTAAAAACAGTAAACGTACGGAGGATGAACAATTGTTAAGCCCCCGTGGCAAATGACCCACAGAACACGCGCTTGTTTTTTTAAATATAAAAAATAGCACATTAGAGATGCTGAAGGGTAGCTAGACGCTTAGAATTACCAGCTAATATGAGCCTCCCCGACCTTCTCTAACCAAATGACGGCAAGAAGCAGAAGCGGACTCCGTTCACCAGCTATCGAGCCTGCAAGCTAACTACTGCCATTAGCCAGCTGCTCGGCGACTAGCGAGCGGCTCAGCCCTCTTCCTACGCGTTTGTACTTAGTCCACAGAGATGACAGGGCGTGTATCCTGTGATGTCTTTGCCCGGTTTAAATGAAAACATTGAGGAGCAAATATTTCGACGTTATAAGAATATCAACGTTTGGTCCACTCCCGCAGCGTTGATGTTCATGTGCGCTGCAACTGACAGCTCGGCAGATGGGAGGTGACGGGCTGAGCTTTGCAGTGTCTCCTGTTCTGATTCGCTACTACTCCTGCCCTCCACTACCGGGCTCATGATACCTTTCTGTTGTATTTTAATAGCGCAAGAGCCTTTCTATATTAGTCTATATTTGGCATTTGGATTTACCCTTCTTGTCAGCAACAAAAATGTTATAACTGAATGAAAACTATACACTTTTTCAGTGAGGCTGCCCTACATGACAGTTTTCTTCACCCACCCCCGTTTTTTGCAGCCTCTATAATAGTAATGGATTAGCAGAGACGTGCACCATCCAAGTCAATCCCTACTTGGTGTAGATACGATACATACATATATATATATATATACACCATCAGAGATAATGTCTTTGGAGGTCATTTGGTCTTCTGGTGCATACTATGCTGTTTCCACTGGCACAATGCTGTGTCAGTGCCTCTGTAAAAGCAGGAGGCTTCAATGTGCTGATGCGGTATAGAGCTCATTTGTTTTATGGCTCACCCTTCACGGCAGCGCATTTCTTTTCATATTGACTGAGCTCTATTTATATTGAATAAAAATATTTATATTGAATAAAAAAAAATATATATATATATATTTTATTTTCTTTTTCATGATAATTTAATGATGGAATGTGCTTTCTTCCAAACTTCAGTGTAATTCAATGAACAGATTCAAGGACATCTGAAGAGCTTTCCAAATCTTAGTAGTTCTCAAAAGTAAACTACACAGTTAATTAGAAAACAGCACAGAACCTTTAGTTGTCTGGTTCACCCCTCCATAGGTCATGCAAGTTGTGTTTTATAATGTAATAGACACGTATACATCTAATTGCTAGACTGTTCTGTTTTCCTTTAAAGATTTAGACCCCAATCCATTGAGCTCCAGTTCATTTTACATGCACTTTTTGATGGCTACTGACACATTTGCTACAATGTCCCAATGATGATTTTAGTGGTATTATTCACAACCTCTTCATCTGACCTCACGCTCACTCAACATAAACTTGTGCCCCCCTCGTTGTTATCCAGGATTTATTCTACCAGTTTGTGTAAATCTGTGTGTGATATGTTCAAAAACACACAAACAACATAGCTAATACCCGCCTTTTTTGTGTCTCTCAGCATTTCCTTCATGGACTATAGCCTACTATTTTTTTTTTTTTTACTTTACTTGGATAAATAACCACCCAATATATTTTTGTTCCAAGTCCCGATTACATAAATACATTGTCAGTGTTTCCGAAGTAAACTGCTAAGACAATAGGAGCCATAACCTTTTGCAACAGGTTAAAATAACGATTGTTTAGACCATTATTTAGTTCCACATGGCACCCGTTGCCTGGCAACGTTGCGTCAACCTCCTTTTCCAAAACACAGTACGGTGAGGTTATTGTTGTCGGTTTAAAACCTCGAAGTTGCCTCTTGGTCTGGAAAGAAAACGTAAGTCGTGGTTCATTTTTGAGATAGTAATTAGAGAGCTTGCCATATGCCTGCTTTGTAAGCTTAATCTGTCGACAGTGCTACTGAGGAGTGGCATAGTAGCACAACTAGCTAGCTAGCTTTATGGGTTCACAGAGTTGAACGCATTGAACCGTTATTGGACACCTATCTCTCATCAATATTGCTCCTCTTTAGGCCATAATATGGGAAAGAAGTCGAGGAACGAGAGGGAAACGCCAATCAAGGAAACGGTGAGTGACGAATGTTTCTTTAGGTCTGTGAAGGTTCTCACCTAATGTTTCTTTAGGTGTTGGCAAAACCTAATTAATGCATTTTTGAACCTTTGACAAGGTTTAATTCATGATGAACACAGCCTACTGTACATCCCGGGAACATATCAATTAGAAAGCATGCACAACTCTCTGATTGGAACTACTACTATGGAACTTGATTCATTGGGGCTTGGCATCAAAGGTGATTAAGGTTGATATACAAGCAGGTATTTGTGTCAACAAATCATGATTATTCTAACTACACAAAAAATAATGAATGAAATTTGAATTTGCTTTAGTACATATCAAATGCTCTGATTGACACATCAAAAGCATTGACTGATAGTAAATATTATATTTGTGAGGAGGTAAGAATGATCAGTTTCATGTGTGGTGAAACATCCCCTTAACCAGTGGATAATAACACTAACACTAACTAACTTCAGACACTAACAGTCTGAAGAAAGCTAAAGAGGGAGTGTGAAACTCAAAGGGAAAAAATAGATGTCATGCTCAAAAGTGTGTCCATTTGCCACTACAATAAAAAAGTCTTTGACTTCATTCTAGATGATGAAGTTTTCTGATGTTCTGATGATAAAAATGTACTTTGAAATTGTGGCTTGGTCTTTAGTAGGCCTTGGGCACAAAATTGTTTGAAAACGGCATCAGGATATCATATGCATGTACATGTTCTCAGGTTGTTGCCTGTTGGTACATGCTGGGCATTGAGATATGTCCTGTCTCATTGTCCTAGAAGTATGAAAGTCAAAAAGACAGACCTGACTTTATACATGTTCTATATTTCAGTTATTTATTTTATATTTTGCAAACACTCCTTCTCCCTGTTGACTCTCACAGTTTGAGCCGCTACCCCTTGAGAGCAAAGCCCCAGCAACAGTAGTGCTGCTGTTGAACTCCCCAGAGGAGGACATTTTAATCAAAGCGTGTGAAGCGATCCAGACATTTGCAGAGAAAGGTATGGTAGGGTACCCACCGCTAACCCTTCCACATATTATTGATTGTTTTTATTTCTATGGGCAACCTTGCAGCTGAATAGCAGAAAATCCTGTCTTAAATTTGCTTTCAGGCTGATGTTTTGTAATGGTGTATTTTTTTGATATGCATTTTTTAAATCCAGAAATTGCAACATTTGCAATTCACTTCATCACCATCTGCCTAACTTTCCTGTTCACTGTCTCCCCCTGTTGTTAGGAGATGAGAACAAGGTTTCTCTGCTGGGACTTGGGGCATTAGCGCCTCTCTGCCAACTCATTACTCACAACAACAAGCTGGTCAGACGCAATGCCTTCATGGCCTTGGGCATCATGGCCACCAATGGTGCGTCAGACCAGTTACGTCATTGATGCAGATTCGACTGCAGTGGACTTGGTAGCTTACAAGCTCATGCGACAGTCTTGATTCTACAAATGACCCTTTAGTTTACCGGCCATCTATGTGTTTGTCAGGAATTTGCATCTGTTAATCTACCAGATGTTGGATTCCCTGTTCTGTTGATTTAACAGTGAGCAAGGTGCTAGCCTTACTGAGTAACTGAGTAGTGTCTCTTGTTTAAATCTGAAAGGTGATGTAAGGACTGCGTTGAAAAAATTAGATGCCATTCCATCAATTATTGAAAAACTATCACTCGAAGGTGAGTAATAGATATTAGAAGATTAAGATATATTTTGATCACTAAAGGAAACTGTGTTACTTTGTATAAGTTGCATACAATCAAAATAGAGCACATGTGTTTACTTATGGCAGTAGGCAGTATTTCTGTGATCAATCCTTATTTATTTCTGTTTCTTTTCATATAATCAAATTCCATTTTTGTTCAAGATGATACAGTTGTCCACGAGTTTGCAACACTGTGCCTGGCTTCTTTGTCAGAGGATTTCCTCTGTAAGGCCCAGATCTTTGACAACAAGGGGCTGCCAACTCTAATTCAGCTGCTGTCTAGTTCTGACCCAGATGTCAAGAAGAATTCACTAGAGACCATCTCCAACCTAGTACAGGTGACCCAAAGTCATCAGGCTTTAGGATGTAATTTTATGTAAAAATTATAAGGATTTTCACTGTGAAAAATTAACGTGATGTTTTATAGTCCTAAAAGACGATAAAGTTGTCTTCACATACCGTATTTACTGAACCCCTGAACTTTTCTAGATATAACATTACAGGGGTACATGTGACAGTGCAGATGTTTAATGCTGTAGAATGTGTTTAACTTGTCAACTCTGCAAGGGAAAGTATTTATTGTGTCCAATTTCATCTATGTAATAATAGTGCAGGTAATAACTCTGGTGTCAGTGGTCACACTGTGTTCTGCCTCCCTCCTGCTCTACTAAGGCAGCACTGCTGCCAAACCTAAAGTATTTCTTAGCAATGAGAATGCAGTTAATGCGAACTGTTTCCTGCTGTGCGCTACGTGTGAGAAAGAGCAACTTCACAAAGTCCTGACCTATTTCTCCCAACATTTACAGATTTCATGAGTGAAAACAGCTTCAAATTTGCTCCTAGGATTGTTGAAAAAAAATGCTTTCAACATTTCTGTGAACCTTTTGCAACCTTTGCTGTTTTGTCCCCATGAAGGACTACAAAAGCCGACTGGTGGTACACGAATTAGGTGGGATCCCTCCACTTCTGCAGCTCTTAAATTCGGAATTCCCTGTCATTCAGCATTTGGCTTTAAAGACGTTGCAACATGTCACTACTGACAGAGATGCAAACAAGACCTTCAGAGACAAGCAGGGATTTGAGAAGCTTATGGGTATCCTGAATAATGTGGTAGGTATATGGTTTAGGTAATATATGTCTTTATTCTGCTGGTTTGTGTTAATAAGAATAAAATAATAGAGAATCCTTTAAAATCTGTGTCCTCTCGACCTATCTTTTTATTTCTCACAGAACTTCAGTGACCTACATGCTGAGGCCTTACATGTCCTGGCTAACTGCTTGAGTGACAGTGAAAGTGTCCAACTCATTCACAAGAGTGGAGGACTGACCAAGTTGATGGAATTTGTCCTCACTCCCAGTGTGCCTGAAATCCGGTCAGGTGTTATTAAATGCATCACCAGGGTGGCTCAGAGCTGTAAGCACAGAAGGCAATTAGAGACAACAGATTTCTTTCAACTTTCCCACATAATTTACTCTATTTTATTTATTCTGTTATGTGTGTGTGTATGCGGGTGCTTGCCTGTGTGTTTAGCTGAGACCTGCAAAGTGCTTCACGAGCAGGATGTGGAGACTGTTCTGATTGAGCTTCTGTCCTTGGAGAACATTGATGTGATGACGTCTGCCTGTCAGGCTGTGGCTGCCTTGACCTTTCACCCAAACAGCAAAGAACGCTTCAGAGAACTTGGCACGTACATCTTCACCAAGCCACCCTGAGATTAGGTGCAGTAAGCACAACAAAGTGTAATTGAGTTGGATTCCTTTGTGTTTCAGGTTGTATCAGTGTCCTGGTTCAACTGCTGAGCAGGGAGAGTTTGGCACTGAGAGAGGCGGCAACCCAGGCCCTCTCTAACCTCACTCATAACAGCGAGTCAAATGCCTTGTGAGTAACGGAGGACTTTGATGTCTTACCTATACCTCATTGTTTTTGTACAGATATATGCACTTTTTTTTAACAATTCAAAATGTATGGAATTATGTATAAAAACATCTACAAAGAACAATGCAGTATAAAGACACAGAATGAGGCATATGAGACAATTTGTATGATAAGTTACTGGGTAGTATTTATTTGTCAGACATCCAGTACACACTGTCTGGTTCATATCGATCATTCAGATGTGCTAGGACACCCCTGTCCTCAAGAAGACAAAGTATTGGTGACCTGGGCAAATCATACTTCAACCCTTGGCCCATATAATCCCAAACATCTCTCAGAAAAGGAAGAAGTTCTGAAAATTCCCATAATGCATGCACATAAGTGCCTGTTTTTGTCTTTTATGTCCAGCATAAAGCATCCAAATATGATTTTTTTGTAAACTTCTAGACCCTTTCAGTTGTTTTCCCATTATTAGCTACATAAAATCCATAAAATCTGAATGACTTCAGGGATTTAAAGGTGTGTGTTCTACTCTGGACTAGAATGCTGTCCTCCCCTTTTTTCATAAAAATAAGACACGGAATCTCTTTACTTCTTTTCCATTGTCTTCTCCAATCTTGTCTTATACATTTTTTTTTCCAGACAAGTCTTCTTCGAACTCTCGAACCCACGCATTGTATGCTTGGAAATAATATGCTTTAACAACGTATAAATTTGTAAAACTACAGTAATTGTCAGCCGTCTAACTTTTCATTAAACCTACCTCCCTGTTTATTGTATTTTCCAGTGAAGTGTATGAGGAAGGTGGCGACAAGCTCCTCATACAGCAGTTGTATCAAAGCTGTCCAAAGATAGTGGCCAATTCTGCTGCCACACTTTGCAACATGGCAGAACATGAGATCATCCGCTGTAGCATCTTGTCACATGGAGCCATACAGGCTCTGTTGGAACCCTTGAAATCTACAGTTACACAAGTCCTGGTAAACACTGCACGTTGCCTGGCAGTGCTGGCCAGTGATGAAGAAGCTAGGACAGAGGTTGGTGTTTATGTGACCTCAGAATGCTGGCTTGTTCTCATGTTCAGTAATAATAAATAATGATCATTGTTTTTAATCATTGCTGTAAACTTTACTCAAGACAGCAGGATTATTGTAAACAGCATTCGGTTTCACTTTGTGATACTACATTTGAAATTCTTTCACTAAATAACTAATACTCAACCCAAGCTAGTCAGAGTTGGAGGTCTTCAGCTTCTGGTCAATCTACTGCAGTCTCACTCCAAGGAGGTGCTGCACATTGCATGCTTGGCAGTGAATGTCTGTGCCAGTGATGAGCCAACTGCTGTGGAGTTGTGCAAATTTGGGTAAGACGTGATAGATAACACTGTCATTAGAGCATGACTGATGTGTCACCAAATAAATGACTGGCGAGTAAAATAAATGCAATATCTGCATAGATATTGCTTAATGTGATCCCCTAAATAACCAACAGATGGCAGTGCAAGACAATATTAGATGTGACTACATGTGCCTTTGTTCATTTGTCCATTTTTATATTTATTAGTAATGACAGAATATTTTTCTTTTCTTTCTTTCTTTTGGTCTATGCTTGTTGTTTCTATCTGTGTCTCAGAGCCCTGGAAATACTTCAGGAAATCAACCAGTCAAAGACCCGTAGGAACAGTTTCAGTGAGTTGGCTGTGAACAGCCTACTTAACTCCAACTTGTCTTTTAAATACAGCCTGACAAGTTCTTTGGCCTCCACTGACATCATCACCTGCGGCTTCTACGATGCTGGAAAGGTATGCTGTCAGAAGTCCTTTCAAGGACTTTTTAATGCAATCTTATTAACATAGCATTAGTTGGTTGTTGTTTTTTTGTTATTGGCAGTCTTTCACAAGAATGCAACATGACTTTTCACATAATAGTTAAAATGCAACTCTTGTGTTTTCCCTCAGGCTCGCCCTGGTCAGAGGATGCTGACTTTAGAGGAACTGTCCAAGCAACCGGTTAACCAGCGGCAAGCCATTATTTTTGTCAACAAAGCAACAGTATTGCCAGAGTACGAATCTAATATTAGAGTAAGGTTTGATAGTTTAAAAGGAGAAATATAAACTACATTATTTTAATGCTTGTGCTTAAAATACACCAATTGTTTTAAGAAGCATGCTTTATTATTACATTCTTTTAGTTTAGATAGATGTTTCGAGGACAAATGGAAGGTATACTAATAGCCCTCTAAACAGTTACAGCTGACTCCTCCCACCTGGTAATAAAAGTAAATTAACCAGAACAATTACAGAAATTGACTGGGACCATTAGGTTCCTGCACTAGAAGTCACAACATGTTGTTTGCTCAGAAAATTTATTGTGGCTGTTAGATTACAATCACCCTCCCCTTCTCTGCTCCAGTCCTGTGCTCTATTCTTCCTTCATTCCCTTTCCTCCTCCCATTCTCCCCCACTATGCCTGTAGCATAATTAGTGTGGCAGTGTACGCTAGCCCTTCTTTAGGGTGGCGACACACTCAGAGGGCTTCTTGTGATTCAAATAATGGACTTCTGAGCTTGCACCCAAAATCACAAATGTGCAAAAGCACAAAGAGACATGCAATACCCATGCGTGTTCACTGAGCCACATAAAGCATGCACGCAATAAAAAAACACATCTTAGATGTTTAAGGCTGTATATGCATGCACTGTTTAATGCTTTCAGCATTTTCATAAATTAACTTTGGAAAAGAGAGCAGTACCCCCTTCAGGGTACCTCTGTTCAGCCCTTCACCCCTCCCAGACCCCCATTCCACCAGCATGAATTTACACGCAACACTTCAGGCATTCTTAAACAGCCTGTTATGTAACTGATTCCTGGTCTCATCCATAGCTTCTGCATGAGCCAAATTTCAAAGCAAAAGGCCTCACGATTGAATTTATTTTCTGACTTATTCTTCTGTGTTCCTATAAACCAATTAACGGATGTTTTTTGTTAGTAGGGAGACAGTAGATGTGCCAGAAGAGACACAGAACAAGCCATCAGAGTCAGACGGCAGAGTCAGAGGAGAGCGTAAAACACCAAAGTGAGTGTGTTTGCGAAGTAGTACAACAAGTAATACCACTAACATCAGAGGTTCTGGAGACAAAAATCTTTTTTGTCCAAACCCTTTTTGGCCACAGCTATGATTATTATTGTTATTATGATGATTATTATACATTGACACTCTTTTTGACACATGCTAAACAGGAAGTTGTGGCAAAAATAATCCCATTTCAAGACAATATTAAAAGATGCTACCTTTTCCTACATGAAAATGTAGCTACATAAATGCTGCATGCTAAAAAAAATCATGGAGAGAGGCAGAATATCAAACAAAAATCCAGAAAAAAAGAATTTCATACAAGTTATAAATTGATTTGCAAGTTATTGAGTGAAATAAATATTATATCCCCAAGACAAACCTGATTTAGTTCTTGGCAATGTCCCTTAAGCCCAAGTTTTCCTGTAGCCTTGGCAGAAAAACAGTCACAAAGAGTAATGGTTCCACAATATATGTGCAAAGATTTATAAAATACAGTGCTGTGTGTTCATATAAACCATTTTGTTGATGTCCTTTGGTTGCAGGGTGACAGTAGATGTGCGAGACGAAACACAGAGCAAGCCATCAGAGTCCGAAAGCAGAGTTAAAGGAGACCGTAAGACACCAAAGTGAGTGTGCTTGTTAATGTGGAGGCTCAACATAAGCAGTACCACTAACATTGATCACGAAATGTGAAATGAATTAAAAGAGGTCATAAAGGTGGAATTTTAAGTAGTGATTTTCTTTCCTTGTAAGATACTGACAGGATTCTTTTCTAATTTACTCTCTTTTTGTACAGGAAGAAGAAGGAAGAGGAACAGAAAGATTATGGCTTCATGTACTCTATTATTATTATTATTATTATTATTATTATTATTATTATTATTATTATTATTATTATTATTATTATTATTATTATTATTATCATCATTACTAAAGTTTGTGTGTGTTCAAATACATCCCTGTGCTGTATTCATATACCTTTTATGGAAACTGTCTAAACATTTTAGAGATGATAACAATCTCTGACGCATGCTAAAGACGATATAGTGCCAAAAACATTGACATTTAAAAAAATATTGAAAGATCTTGCGTTAGTGATAATGATTAGATCTTGTAATGATATGTTCTCTTCATTACATGTATATAAAATCAGATAACATAAAGGAGATTTAGACACTAAAAAGAGTGTGCCTGTTAATATGAAGGATGAGCATAAAGCAGTGTCACTAACATGGATCCTGTGATGTGAAATGTGTGATAGAGTTCACAAAGGTGGAATATTAAGTAGTGATTTTCTTTCTTATTTTAAGGCACTGACTCCCCTGATTTCTTTTCTAATTTATTGTTTCTTCAGGAAGAAGAAGGAAGAAAAACAGAAAGATTATCTTCAGCCTGAGTCTCCTGTAGAGAAACCACGGGGAATGATGGAGGATGTCTCATTGCAGATTCTAATAAAAATTGCCAAAGAATACATCTTTCCACTGAATGATGAAAAAGAGCAGTGTGAATCCTTAGCCAGGTAACGTATTCATGCAGAAACTGGCATGCAAAGAGAGAGCGAAGTAACTTATCAGCAGCTATTGTTTAAAACAAATCTCTGGAGTCATGGAAACACATTAAAATGATATTTACACACCAACTCTTAAAATGTCAGGAGAGCTGACTAAAAATGACAGCAGTGGTATGCAATGCAGACACTCTGCTAACACATTGAAATACAATACCCTGAGAGATCAGAATGGAAAACAAAGACTTTATTTTAAAGGTTTCTGCATTTTCTTTGGTTGGGTTTGCTCTTATTTTCAGGCTGGTGAGTGAAGCCATGGGGGGAGCAGTGGAGAAGGAAAAGATGCACGAGTTTTCTTGGATTCTGCACCTCAGTGAGCTGAAGATTCAACTTCAGTCTAATGTTATTCCCATTGGTTTCATCAAAAAGGGAATTTATTATCACAGGGCACTCCTGTTCAAGGTACAGATTCTTTACCCACATGGTAGCATTAGCATGAGCGGCTATGTTCATCATCTTTCCTAATATTTTTTATTCCTGACCAACATGTTTTGACATCCCAATTTAAGCTCTGTCTCTTTAAGGTCTTCTCCATAATATTTGTTCCTCAGCCTATTTCTCAGTCTGACATTCTTCTGTCTCCTCTTTTAGTCACTGGCTGATTGCATTGGACTGAGCTGCACACTTGTTAGGGGAGACTACAACCGTGCTTGGAATGAGGTTCTCCTTTTCAGTAGAAATTCCTCCAACAAGCTGCACTCTTCACAGCCCTGCCGCTACATAGTAGACCTTGTGCACCAACCTGGAAACCTGTTTCCAGTCAATAGCCCAGCTGCAGTCCAATATCAAACTATATAATCAGTACTGTATTGTTTAAATACCACAGAAGGTAACGCTTTGACGTCATATTTTGTCTGATGTGCATCAACCGATTTATATGTAATGTGTGTTTATGTGTACATGATGTGTGCATGGCGGACCTCATCAGTTGACTATTTTTTTTTCTACATATGCATAAGGAAAGCAAAATCGTGTCTATTGTGGTGTTTCTCTATTAGACACAGTGATTCAACCTTTGTACTTCAGCATGGGTCCAACATGGTGAAGCAGTGTTTTTGCCAACGTGCAAGCTGTAGTTGTTTAGAAAGTTAATGTTTCAGCTGGAGAATTGAAAATATCTCTTACAGCTTCATGGCACCATCACCAGCCTGGAGCTTTGGATCCATGCTTTCATGTTTTTGAACCTACCAGAAAGATTTCATAGTAGAAATTTATACTCACCAGACCAGGCATCGTTTTTCCAATTTTATAATTGTCCAATTTTGGTGAGCCTGTGTGAACTGTAGACGTACATTCCTGTTCTGCATCTGCTCCTGTATCCCATCTGCTCCAGGGTCTGAAGTGTTTTGTATTCAGAGATGCTCTTCTGCATGCCTTGGCTGTATGAGTGGGTATTGGAGTTACTGTTACCTTCCTATCAGCTTGAAGCTGATAGGAAGGTCATTCTCCTCTGACCTCTGGCATCATAAAGCATTTTCACCCAAAGAACTGCTGCACACTGGATATTTTCTTTGTTTGTGCTATTGTCTGTAAACACTAGAAATGGTTTTCGGGGAAAATCCCAGTAGATCAGCAGTTTCTGAAATACTCATACCAGCCCATCTGGCACCAACAACTAAGGCAATGTGATTTTAGTCACTTAAATCACATTTCTTCTTTTCTTTCTTCTTTCTTATGCTCAATTTGAACTTCAGCAGGTTGTTTTGATCATGAGTAGCTACCATCTGATAACTCATCCGATTTTTGCCTTAAGGAACAGTTGAACAGGTTATTATTATTATTGTTTGTGTGATCGTGGCTCAAGAGTTGGGAGTTCGCCTTGTAATCGGAAGGTTGCCGGTTCGAGCCATGGCTTGGACAGTCTCGGTCATTGTGTCCTTGGGCATGACACTTCACCCGTTGCCAGTGTCCGCCAGCCTCGCCTCTGTCAGTGCGCCCCAGGGTGGCTGTGACTACAATGTAGCTTGCCATCACCAGTGTGTGAATGGGTGGATGACTGAATGTGTTAAGTGCTTTGGGGTCCTTAGGGACTATACAAGTACAGGCCTTTTACCATTTATTATTATTAATAATAACAATAACAATTAGTATTCAAATAGACACCCGCAAAGATGGTTGTGAACAGCAGATAGATGTGGCAATCCCAGCGGACACCAGTACTAGGAAGAAATGGCACAACTGACATCACAAACTAAGGCTGAAGGAACAACTGGAGCAGGTGTGAAAGGAAAAGGCTAAAGTAGTCACAGTGGAAATGGAAACACTAAGTGTTGTAATCCCAGAGTAGCTCCAACAGATACCAAGCACAACATCAGAGGTCTTTGTGCCGAAGAGTGCAGTCCAGGAGCAACCACGATATTGTGCAGAACCTTCAAAGTGTCCTCAAGTGGACCTGAGCCTGAGGATTGTATTTATACCACCTCTCATGAGATGAGGTGGAGATTTTATATACATGTGTATATGGACTTTGTGTAATAGACTGGCAAATAGCCAATATTAGCTATTAACTAAAGCAAAGCATACAGGAGCAGGTTAAATAAATAATAAATGCTAGAGAAATCCTTTCATGTTTCATGTCTCTAAAAGAATTAAATAAATAAATATGGCTTACCTATTTGAATGTCATATTTTTAAATCAACAAATATCTCTGTATCAGTCTTAAAAAAAATCTAAAATCTAATCTTAGATTTTTTTATTTTAATTTTTTGATCCATATACGCACTCCCATTCAGCAGCGCTTACTGCGCTCTTTGCACAGTGCTGGCAATAAAATACGACTGAACTCCATCCACTTTGACCTTTGTAGCTTCAGTTGTGTTTTGTGACCGTGTAACCCCGCTAACAGCCCGGATAAGTCGAGCGAGGACCAGCCCAAACTCGCCGCGGCGTGAAAAATCTCGATGGGGCAAGTTTGCTTGGCTCCACTGAAAGCTGCACTTTAGTCGCACTTGACTCCACTGGAGCAAACATGTCTCGTTTCGTCCGCCGGATTGTCGCTGTTGCCTCTCAACACGCCACAGCCAGAGCTGCAGAGGTACCGAGGAGGATCCCCGGCATAATCCGTCCCGTGTCCACATGTCAAGGTACCGTGAGCGAACTTCTGATTTATATCAGCGCTGTACTTGAGCTGCAGCTCGCTGCACCATCATGCACGAATGTTTACTATTAGAGGTTCTACATCTCTGTTTGAAAGAGTATTTCAGAAGTTAAGTGGAAATTCTTTGAGATTAGAATGTTTATATTTTAGTCTTAGTTATTCTTTAAGAATATATTTCCAAGCAGCCTCACTTTCTCAGCTTTAAAGTTTTCAGAGTCTGTATTATTAATGGTAATGTGATCAGATAAGAAAATGCATGAATTACAGGAAACTCTGCCACAAATGTGGCTTTAATGATTCACTCTCTCTCTCACACACACGCACGCTCACGCGCAAAACATGTGGTTTGTTTTAAATATGCATATCTAAAATGTGTGACCTTTGCTCTGTGCAGGCCTGCAGTCCCTCACACGTTACAGTGAGACTACAGACTGGCATAAAAAACTGACCCCAGAGCAGTATGTAGTCACCAGAGAGAAAGGAACTGAGGAGGTGAGTCCAGTGTATGAAAAAAACAAAAAACAATATAATTATTATGTAACCTAATGCCAAAGAAGCTTTGTGTTCAGAATTAATAAGTGGAAGGTTACACGTGCACATAAGCACACCAGCAGAGTGACATACATTATCTCATCAACAGCAGCACATTCTCAGGTGGACTTTGATCTGCTCTGTGTCACAACGACACACTTTTACTACATTATGAATTAAATACAGCCTGAAAAATGAAACGCAGAGATATTTCATCTTGTTATAACAGGACTAAGGACAAGTCATTGTATACACTTGCAAAACCAGGGTGCTGAAGAACACACAGGTAGTGAAATGAGCAGTATTTCTGCTCCTTACATTGTGATCTGGTGTGTGTGTATTTGTGGATGTTCTCAGCCCTTTAGTGGGATCTACCTGAACCATTTTGAAATGGGGATGTATCACTGTGTCTGCTGTGACGCTCCACTCTTCAGGTAATACATCTAACCAATAAAGGGGTATGCACATTTTCTGGACTGGACCATAATCTTTTATTAAAACTCTGAAAAATGAGGGCTTACTGGTATAAGATGATTTTGCTGTTTGCTCATTTTTAAAAAAAATCAGCAGATGTTTACTAAATTCTTCCTTCCTCTCTTCATAGCTCCGAGGCTAAGTACAACTCCGGGACAGGCTGGCCAGCATTCAATGAGGCTCACGGGACATGGGAGGGTGATGAAAGCCACACCTCCATCATTCGGCGCCCTGACAACAGCCTGGGCAGCCCTGGGACAGAAGTCCTTTGTAAAAATGTGAGTTGTGCTAGGAACCAAAAGAAGCCAAGGTTTCATTCAGTTTAGCTGTGATACTTGTTGTTTGTGCTATAAAGCAGAGGTTAAAGTAAAAAAAAAAAGTGCACAAACGTCTGACTTTTTTGTGTTTCTGTATCTGGGTCACACAGTGCGATGCCCACCTTGGCCACGTGTTTGATGATGGACCAGACCCAACAGGACAGCGCTTCTGCATCAACAGTGTTGCCCTCACATTTAAAACCAGAGAAAACGACAAACCTGATGAGGATGAGTGTAACTGATGGACTTCATCAAAACATTAAAAAAAACAGGACCATGTTTAAAGAACTTCCCTTTTGTTTTTTGTGGGGGGTTTAAAGTGAAAAGCTATGTGATGTGCAGTGGGATGAATTGTGGGTTAAACTGGAAGTGAATTGAAACCAGTTTTATATTGCATATATTAATGGATATATGGACTGGAGAGATGTCTACACAGGACAGGACTACAGGACTCACAGTAAATCATTTTTCTGCTCCAATAATCTTTTTTCTGTTCTCTCTTTGTCACTGGTGTTTTTACTGTTTACTAATGTTTGTTAAGTATTTTGCCTTAACTGTCATCTGAATGAAGGTCTTCTCATATGAGCCACTTGGAACATATGTATAGGATATGTGAAGCCATTAATGCCACGAAGTGTTTTTAACAGCATTCTAATGTTTAGCATATTTTCATATCTGGAAAAAACAGTCAAAAAAATTGTTGTTCTGCAGGATTGCAAAAACATTGCTGTGTTTTTGGTTTGTAATCTGAAGTTGCGTGTACATATCCAGCTGAAGTCTTTGATGGCAATCACGCAAACATGACCGATCCTTTTTTTTTCCCCCCAATAAATTCACGTCTAAATCCGGCGCTGTGCTGCGATGCCCCCCGATGTTTGCCCGTAATTTATTGCCGCCTCTTGTTGTTCAGAAGTGCACACCACAGCACTTTAGTATGGCCTCATCTCTACCATGAAGTTAATATTTAACTCAGCAGGCCATCCTCTGTTTCACACTGTTTGTCTCTGGGTCTCTGTTTGCTTATCCATATCTTCTGGGTATATGTGTTGCAAGTTGAGTAAAGCAGAAAGAGAACAGCTGAAGGGAGAAACAGAGCAGGGTGGACAGAAAACCTATAAAACAAAAACAAGAATTGTTTGTCAGCGATACAATGGCTGGACTATGGCGTTGCATACTTGCAGTGGTGATGTTGATGTGCGTGTACCTCTGGGATTCTGCTGAGGCTGTAGGTGGAGCTAAGAGTCGACCCCGACCCCAAAGACGACCTCCCAAGAAGCCAAAGATCACACCTATTGACCTGACCCAACCCGAACAAGACATAGACATAGAAAGGGTAAGAAATAAGATAAAGAAGCGGAATATTTTCACTGCTGCTGCATTGGGCCCTGGCTGCTCAATTCAATTCAATTTATATAGTGCCAAATAACATCAGCAGTATTGGGTCTTTTTCTTTTTTTAGTTAATCTTTTTAACCTTCTGCTGAAGACAGTGAGATTCATGAAAAAGCTGCAACTGCCAAGAGACCGACTGTTTCCAGGCAGTTGCAGACGTCGCCAACACAGCAGACAGCTCTGTGTGCTGTTATTTTACCTCTGAACACTGTTTTTTGATTGTTGTACCGTGTCACAGTATGATATACAAATAGGACTGCAGAAGAATCTGTGGAAACTATGTGAAAGTAACTTAATGGTGGATGAGTCAATATAAACATAAGAAAATAGCCAGAAAGCTATTTTGTTGCTTTGATTAGATCATGACACACAAAAGCGCTCTGTCCCACTGGTCTAAGAATAATCCAACAAGTTTTTGTCCTTATATTCTATGTGGAATCGAAGTAAAGTATTCAGAGACTCGAACACGTCAAAGGCCAGTTCTGAGAAGCCTTTATTCTTCAAACTTTCGATCGCTGTGAAAGCTCTGATTTTTATGGATTACTGTGGGGGCTGCTGATGCAGGCAAACTTGCATAATTGTGTCAATATTGTGTTTGAGGCAATGAGGGAATTTTTCTGTGCAGGTGAACGGATATGAAGGGGATAGAGCAGGGCATTTAAAAGAAATGTTTTGTTTTTGTTTTGACACGGGAACATTTTTGGAATTTTGATTTCAGTGGGATGGGATGAATTAGAATAATCCGATAAGACATTTGTCTATGACAAATTGATTGATTTTGAGATATTTTGAAATCTTGTTTTTTCCTTTCTCTGATTGGTTGTGTCCTAGATGCTGGGAACATGGTACCTGCTTAATACTGCCTCCAAATGCTCTTACCTGGTAAATCACGGGACCAAGGTGGAGCCAACAGTAATCACCATTGCTCGTACCGCTACCTCTAATAAAACGCTGTCTGTTAGCACCAAAACAAGGCAGTGAGTACAGCTGCACATGTGGCTGATTCTTCTGTATGTTCTTTGCTTTCTTTCTATTTTTTTGGCAGCAGAGGGAGCCAATTTCTTGAATCCCTCATTCCATTCTTACTGATATTATTCCTTGCCATGTGTTTAATGTTATTTATGCATCTTCAAAAACAGGAAGGATGAGGTAGAACAGTTAAATCCGTCAGCTTTTCTGCTAACTCTTTTTTGGCCAAACTGACCTAGAAGTATAATATCCCATTTAAATGTGGCTTGTGTTGTTTTTGGAGAACATTCTATGAAAGCTTTTGTTGCTGTATGAGTGCTATGAAATCTTTCTGGCCTCAACAGAGAAAAAACAAGTTTTATTGATTAATTTGTCATGCACTGTCTGAAAAGTACAAAGTCTTCTCTTCTCTTCTCTTCTCTTCTCTTCTCTTCTCTTCTCTTCTCTTCTCTTCTCTTCTCTTCTCTTCTCAGTAATCACCAGTGTTGGGAGATATTACAAGTCTATCATCTAACATCAGTCCCAGGAAGACTGACAATGAAAGGTCAGTTTTGTTTCTTAGTGTCCCAGAATAAAGCAGGATCCTGTGTGTACTTTGCTCTCTGTTCTCTATATACCAGGATCTCCCCCTGAGCAGAATATTGAGATAGTGATTGGGGATACAGACTACAATTCCTATGCCATCATGTACTACCAGAAACAGGGCAAGATCACAATGAAACTCTATGGTAGGTTTCCTCCCTTACTTTTGTAGGTACTTTATATTGAGCAGCACAGCACTGTTGATGCTTTATTACTTTGGTAAATATGTTAAAGGGTTTTTGTGTTGTGCTGTGTTCGCAGGGAAGTCTGTGGACAATCTGTCAGAGCCGCTGCTAACCAAGTTTGAAGAGCTTGCTGCAAAACAGAATTTGCAGCGGGCCTACCACTTCCCCTTCCCCACCTACAGTATGGCTAATTTTACAGTTATCATACAGAATACTAATAGCAATCTATTTCATGTAAGCTGGCATTTTGAAACACATGATGACTGCATAGCTAGACAAGCTCTGGATCTCTGATAGCTAGATTAACCAAATGAATATACCGTGTAACCTTTGAGAACACAATCCAAATATTTTCTGAACACAGTGCATTACAAAATAACACAACAACACACTACATATGTAGTAAATGACTGGTCAGGGAAAGTCACACTACTACTAGCCATATGTTGATATATAGTAAAAGCTCCCCAGAGGGCTAAATAATGACATGTGAATTTATTTTTGCTTTCCAGGTCACTGCGGTGATGTGGATCGAGATCATGTGATCAGTAAGTTACATGCTGTTTTTTCTTTTTAAACATTTTTAAATGTATTAACTTAAGTGACGTATGTACATAAAAGCAATCCCCTAAAAAGAAAGGGTGATAATGTTTCGATTTGTCACAAACAAAATGGCCAGACAGAAACAAGATAAGCATGTGCAATGCCACTGAGACAAACTTATATTATTTTTCAGGTTTTTACTTACTGGTGTAGTATGCAGGCCTAGTGCTGACAAGTACATCCACGAGTAATTGCATTCCATTTCCCTGGCAAAGCGCTCACGACTTATTTCCTAGCATTTTCTCCCATGTACTGTAAGAAGCTTCACTGATTCAGTGCAATATAATAAATAATATTAACAAATTGTATTTATGCAGATTTTTTCTTAACAACATGCTTTACATAAAGAACTGCAAACAAGAACTAGAAAAATTTGCATTTCCTGCGAAAATGCTGTGTGGATGCCTTAACGCTGAAGATGTCTGCTGAAAAAAGCTGAAAAATTTGAAATTAAAAAAAAAAAAAGAAAAAAAAAGATTGCCCTGAGCAGGATTCAAACCTGGCCCTTCTGGTCTAAGGGCAGTTATTTAGCTTACTGAGCCAAACTCATTCTCACAAAGAAGAGGTGGAGAGATTGACAATTGTGCTGAAATGAGCAGAAGCTGCTGAGAATTGTGCTGATAAGAGGTGAAAAGGCTGCAAATTTTGCAGAAAAGAGGTGAATAAGCATAATTTCTGCAGAAAAGAGGTTTTTGCTGAAAACAGCAGAAAAAACTGAAAATTTTGCTGAAAAGAGTTCAATCAGCAGAATTTCTGCTGAAAAGAGTTCAATCAGCAGAATTTCTGGAAAAGCTTAAAATTCTAATGAAAACAGCAGAAGAGGCTGAGATTTGTGCTGATAAGAGGTGGAAATGCTGAACCAATCAGAGGTACTGCTTCTGTCTGCTTCATCAAGCTGTGTACTTGTATGTATTTCTGCCATGGAGCGTTAACAAGAATCTGAGGTCCATATTAGAAAAGCTGCCAAAATCATAAAATGTTGCCGAATTGTAATAAATTATCAATATGAATTACAGGTCTGTGATAGTGTATTAATTTGAAGTGGAAGAAAACATGTAGACAAGGTGGAATTGAACCCACGACCTTTGGGCTTCAGACCCGTGTCATTATCATTGGAAGTCGAATTTCCCAGAGGAACCCACCCGAGGGATTAATAAAGTTCTATCTTATCTTATCTTATCTTATCTTATCTTATCTTATCTTATCTTATCTTATCTTATCTTATCTTATCTTATCTTACCAACTGCGCCACTGGGAAAGAGAATGGGCACCTGGAAAATAGGGTGATGAGCAGTCAGAATTTTCAGAGTTTGAAAACTGAGAGGAGGACAGATTTCCACCCCTCAAACAAACGTAATTTATGGCACAATGGTAAGATGACTGTAAAAACTGCTTCGACCTTGAGTGTCAGCAGTGTCTGAAGATGAATTGGCACAAGCCTCATGTCTTAACTTTGCTTTGTTACGGAGATATGACGATTTGAAAATGCCTCTCATTAGAGAAATCCAGCGCTGGTTTTGAACAAACTCCCCATAGACTTTGAATGGAGAGTTTTAAAACTTTTTGTTGCTCTGAGGCGATTTGATAAAAATCTGTAACTTCCACAACAGTGATAGTGACATTTTCTGAAAGCCAGCAGAAATACCTACGTTTTCATGTATAATTTGTGGAGGTTGGGTGAAAATTGAGTGACTAGCAAGAAGTTGTTCGGACATGAAGAGAAACTTCAGAAAGCAGCAGCTCTCACTCTGAGTTAATTGCATAGCAACCATAACAACGCATGTATTTTCTGAAAAATCACAAAGCTGCAACTGAAAACTTAAAGAGGCATTAAATGAAAACGGTAACAGATATGAAAAAGCTGAATCACACAGGAAAAGACCAATCATTTGAGAACGTTTTAAAGTTTGAATGGAGTTTCTAGGTGAAAGCATGAGCATGTAGTTAAGTTTCGAAAACAAGAACGTTTTAGCAGAATTTCTGAAGTTTTCCATTGATTTCAATGGGACAAATTAAAGGAAAAAAGTGTAATATTTTAAAAAGTATAATAGCAATAAACACCAAAAGATATAGCCAGAAAGAGCAGAACAGATTAGAGTTTGAACTGAGAAAATCGGCTGAAAACTGAGGGAGTAGTTAAGGTGCAAAAAACGTACGGAAGCGACAAGAATAAAGGATAAAGAATAAAGAGAAACAGGAACTCAATACCACACAATTAGTTTCACCCCAAATGAGCTGCAGCTTTGCGCTGTGATTGTGGCTCACGGCACTTTCCCCTCACATGTTACTAGAGGAAAAAAAACACACTCATCTTGAGCTGTTTGTGTTACCTGGTTAATATATTCTTCATAGTTTTTTTGTATAATCTAAGCTAAGCAGTATGTTATGAAAAAACAAGTTATTGACTTAAAAAATGTAATTAAGCCAAAGGCAATAACCAGTGTGCAAAACAAAATGAGGAGAATAATTCAGATCCCCTTTGGGCAGTAACTTAAATGTTAATATGTACAATGTTTAATTTAAATAAATGAACAGTTTAAATGTATTAAATGCCGAAGCACAGCAACAATGTACATTTAGTTTAGGCTAAAGCTCTCGTCTAGTTTCCTGCAGTGTGGTTTGATTTGAATAGCTGATGAGGATTCTTGAAAAATGCTGTGAAAGCTAAAATCACCATGTGATAACAGTACTTGCTCACTCGGTGAGTACCTCCCTACTGACCTCCTCAGAATCACGTGATTTTTGTGTACAGTAACTTTGGGAAATTTAATGAGGTCACGCAACCTGAAACTGAGTTTGACATTTTGGATCCCTCATAAGTACAGCAGACAGATGTGACATTTTCAATGCTAAAATACACATTCGAGCGCTGTTAAAAACAGCAAATAAATCAGTTTTGCATACTTTAAAGTCAAAATCTTGTTTTTGCTCAGAAGCGCTTTTATTTTATGAGACAAATGGGTTAAATGGCAAAATATCACCAGTTAAATGTCTATACTGTAGATTAACAGAAGCATAAAGGTTCTTCACACCATGTGGGATATGTAGCTGGTCAAAGCAAGTTATAATCATGGCTCGAGCATGGTATCAAACATGTGGGTAAAATGGTACATGTCATGATTTTTAATCATCCTGCATATTTTGTACAAAAAAGATTTGACAGCTACAAGTAGGAAGATATCACAGAGTGTTTCTAAGCGGGAGACCCACTGTTGAATAACAGTATGAGGTTTTTTTTTTTTTTTTTAAAAATGGCATCATGTATCACTTGGGGGAAAAAAAGAAAAAGAAAAGTGAGCCAGACCTTCTCAGAAACAGTGCTGACTTTTGTTCCTGCAGGCTGTGCTCCTGCAGTCAGTTTTTAAAACGTTGTCAACACGTTATCTAACTTCCACTGCCTGCTGAAAAACATCAGCACGGTTTCTCTGTAATTTAACCTGGCATTCCTTGTTTAACAGATTGTGTTCCCACATGCTGAAGAGGCGGAGCTGAGGGGACGATGGAGAGCAACGCTTTTGAATTCACCCCTAACATTAAATGTCCTCAGCCACACACTGAATAAAAGGACATAAGAGTCAAATCAAGCTGTTGTTGAATGCTTTTAATTGTCTTTATTTGCTGTTTGCTAATCCTGTGGTGAGATGGAAGTGTTTTTTTATCCCGAGATTTACCATTCAGAGGTGAATGCACATTTTTGTTTTGTGCTTGAGGATGCAAAAATTGGATGAGGGGGCCAGGAATGGAGATAATAAGGCCCAGATGTCACAAGGGTGGTTACAAAACTCACCAAAAGTGCCTCTTACCACTTCCCCTCGCTCCAACCAGCACCTCTGTGTGTGTGTGTGTGTGTGTGCCTGTTTGTGTGGATATGTGAGTGTTTCATAACCAGCTGATTACAAGTCTGTGCTTGTCTGGTCTCATAACAGAGGAGAGGTTTGATAAGTCATCGGTACATGTCAGCAAAAATAAAGAATTCACAGCTAATTAGCACTTTATGTAACAAGCAAATGATACAATACACAGAAACAAAGTTAACGGGGGATTTGTTGTAACATAAATGCAATATTTAAATTTAAACAAGTCAATAGTGCATGCTCCAACTCCCTGGTAGTTACAAAACTCAGAGGTTCTCACCGAAATTCTGCATGCACCAAAGGTTTTATGAAAGTAAGAAAGAAAGAAAGAAACCAGTACAATGATGTGAGTCAGTGCTCAGAGTCTGCAAGGAACAATCAAGCCACTGTATGCAACACTGGCAAAGTTATTTATGAGAATGATTTTTATTTTTTTTTCACCATGAAGTTCTTAAAAATCCCTGACCATGCAGGAAATACTGGATGCCAATGGTTTATCATATCCAGAAAAATGGAAAACACACTGATTTTATACATGTGACATTTTGGCCAGGCATGCTTGGACACTAATGTTTAAACCCCATCCCTTCTACCCCTGTGTCCTGGCTCTATTCACACGTGCCAGTTGTGTAACAGCCGTGATTCGCCTGAGGGTTTTTGTAATGGTGTAGCGAACAGCAGGATTGTGGGGAGGGGGAGTGGGGAGGAGACAGAATGGGGGTAGGGCTGTACCCTGCAGCAAATATAAGAAGCCTCCGCTTGCTCCTTCCCATCAAACCGCCTTGACACTCCTGATCACTCCTTGCTGCCTAAGCACAGACAGAAGAAGCCATGAGGAGCACACTGCTGAGGATGCTGGCCGCCCTGGTGTGCGTGCTGGCTGCATGTGCAGATGTCATGCCCGTAAAAGACTTCAACCTGGAGAAGGTAACAAATACACATTTAAAAAGAAAGAAGTTATTTGTGTCTGTCTTTGGGTTGTTGCACAGACAAAAACAACCCCTCACTTTTAGAAAGCAGAGGGGGAGCAGTAATGCAGGTAGGGTTTAGATAACCTCTTTTTAAACAGTGTTTGCTTTCTTACAGGTGGCGGGCAAGTGGTACATGGTTGGCTTTGCTACAAATGCTCAGTGGTTTGTGAACCACAAAGCAACCATGAAGATGGGGACTGCTTTCTTAACTCCTACTGATGTAGAAGATCTGGACCTCTCTTACTCCAACCTGAAGTGAGTATAATTGTGCTTTCAAAATAAGATAAAATAAAATAAATTAAATGGCAATGATTGTCTTTTTTAGGGAGGATATCTAATAAACTGGTCATTTTTTCCCCATTTAAGTACTGATGGCTCCTGCTGGAGAATGACTCACCTGGCTAAGAAAACAGACACTCCTGGACGTTTCACCTTCCACAGCCAAAGTAAGTAGAGACGCCTTTAAAACTGCCCCAAAATCTGACATATATTTGAATACTTAGATTTAACAGGATTTCTGTGACCCCACCAGCTTGGAACAATGACAATGACATGCGCATTGTTGACGTTGTTTACGATGAGTACGCCCTGGTCCACACCATCAAGACAAAGAATGGGGTGTCCGAGGTCCTCAACAAGCTTTACAGTGAGTTTGTCTTACCAAAATAAGAGTAACTTTCTAGGAATGCTCTCCGGGATTTGCTCATTCTTGAAGAGCGCTGTCATTTTTTATTGTAGGTCGCACTCCCGACACCAGCGCTGTCCTGCAGGAGAAATTCTCGCAGTTCTCTTTGGAGACTGGTGTCCTCGCTGAGAACATTGTTATGCTGCCCAAGAATGGTAAGTTAACAGTATCAACAATGTAACTGATTCTGTGAGCGAGGCAGACCTTCGCTCACCAGCCTTTCTAATATGCGTTACAGGTGAGTGTCCCGACGCCTGAGGAGCCCAAATCTTCCATCTCAGCAGCATCCCCCACCCCCCCACCACATTCGTCCAACCCCTCTCCCCCCCACAGTCATGACGGATTCACAAAGCTACACCCTGGGACAATGAACCTCAAGCATTTCACTCTGTTTTCTGCTGCACACCAAAGACCAACCCTGATCCTAGTTGAGCTCTCATACTTGTCAACATGCACATTAACTGGGGCATCAGAGTGGAACAATAAAGGCCTGCTTGTAAGAAAAAAAGGGACTGAAGTACACGGAAATATTATAAGTTGTCTTTTGTAACTTCCGATTTCTTTTGCAGACTTTTTTTTCTCCTGTTTTCCAACCTCAAAGCTAATAAAGCTGTTAAAAAGTGTCTGATTTCACAATAATTTTGTGTGTGTGTGTGTTCTGTGAAGGTTTTTTTGGAAGCTACCTGAATATTTTAACACACAATGCTCCCCATCAGCTCACTGTCAGGCATGCGAGAGTGTGTTGGATACTTTACCACATTACATTAGGACACAGTCCTTGTCAAAGGGTTTAAGAATGAGTTGCAGTTATGCAAATATGCGGCTGCGAGTGATATAGGCAGCGATTCAATCGACAGACATAATGAAACGAAGATTATAATAACACAAACTGATTATGGGGCAGCTATATTGCTATTTAGTTCTGGATCATGGCAACAGTAATAACAACGACAAGACAATACCTCGGTTCAAAGGTGTGGGCAGACAAACAAACACAAAGTAATAAGAATTAATTTAATTTAATTACCAGGCACGCAGGACAAATCCCTCCTGAGGAAAAGCAGAGTAGCACTAAATTTCTGATGAGTAAGAGATATAAAGACCTGACATCACTTTAAAATCAAACATGCTGAACCTAAGTGAACACATTTATCTACAACTTTATCGTCTTAAGGACACTTCAGTCCTTTTTTTGTAGCGCCTCATTGCTTTGGGTACCTTTGTCAGCAAGTTTATATTTGATATACTTTCATATATTACTTATTACTGATTCTGAATATAATTCATCAGCTATGAGCTTTTAACTTTATTTAGTTTGGTAATCTGTCATTAATCATCAGTGTGTATGCTCTGTAAATCTGGGTGACTAAGAAGGTGCACTGTCTGCCCACCAGAGGGCAGCATATGACCTTCTGGAACTTCCACATTTGTTCATTACGGGCTTTTTAAAAGGAAAAACTACATAGCGTTTATTAAATATTATATCAGTTTTATATAATTTTAACTTATATAAGTCGAACTAAAGCAAATAGGTTAGATTCTTCCATAGTCCCTGTTTCTTAATGGTTACATGGCTAAGACACAAAATGTTCCTTGAATATCTTTAGTACTGTCTTTGATGTGCATCATTACGCTGCGAGTGTCTGAACAAGAAGAAGAAGACGAAGAAACTGCTATTAAAGATCAAACACTCTTTATTGAACTCAAGAGAACTAAAAGCAAAACATGTGGGTTAAGGTTTTGCCTGTCTGCGCTGATAATCAATTATCATCGCCGTTAAGTTCAAAACATATATCGAGGATGAAGTTATGCATTTTAAAAGTCTGAAAATCAAAATCCAAAAACAACAAAGCATCGGTAGAGTCACTTGTTTGCCCTACGGGATGCGAAGTAAAAGCAGATGAATACTTCTTTGAGGCCTCAGTAGAAGGCAAGCTGAGCTCAGCAGCTGCTCCTAATGTCTCACATGAAGTGATCCACAGCAAGCGCTCGATCACGAGGCGATTCGTGATTCACTGCGCGAGCGCCGTGGGAGCAATTTGATCAAACAGACATACAAAATAAAGCAACTTCACAACAAAATAGAGTTGGCAGCAGGTTTCAGCTGTAACACGTCGTTCTGTAGAAGCCATGGTAAGGTAAACAGGTAAACATAAAAATAACTTAAACATAAATAGATTATATTTGAATGCATGTTGGACCGCAGTTGCACACTGCAGGGTGACGCTCGTGTCTGCCTCCTCATCCTAAACGTGTTTTTCTTGCAAACGAGCAAATGACTCACACGTCATCAAACATGCATGTTGTTGTGTGCATGTGTGAGGGAGGTGTAAGCGTGTGCGTTGAAGCTGCTACTGCTGCACAAATACTTGGAAAGTCTGGCTTTTTTTTTAAATTTCAAAACAAGTTTTTTTTCCGACCAAGATTTTTCTGGGTAAGTGAACACAGCACCATTTAAATACAACATAAAAAAACAGCTGAAAACGCTATTAAGTCCGATTTCGTGCAGCAGCAGTCAAGTTTTTCTCGCAGGTTTGTGATAAGTAGTGTGAGGCAAGGCCAAACGGCTCAGCACCTTGAAGGCACGCTGGAATAATAAGCCAATTATCTTCTTAACTTCGTCCCAGGTGTTTTTCAGATATAAATTGATTTTTCATTTCACGCTGCTTCGCCCACTTAATGCCTAGTGCATCGATGAAAACTCAGTACGCATCAGTCAAGCTGTTTGGTCTGGTCTTCGCGCATGCCCAAACGGCCCCTTCTAAAGCTCATTTTGCCCTAATTCACCTACGCATATACGCATGCATGTGCTTTAAAAACTACAGCCCAACACTGGTTTCAAATGTATAAAAACAAAACAAAAAACCAACTCAAATATCAAATTGAACATGAAAATCTGACATAAGACTCAAGTGTTTGGCAAAGAAACAAACAAACATGCTGAAGCCCGCACGAGTAAAGGCTCGCAGATTCACTCATTCCAAATCCAAAGAAAGCTGCCGTGACGATGAAGATGAAGAAGATGGCGATGATGGCGTCATGATTTCCCCATCATGCACTGAGAAACCTCTCGGTGCCCTTCCACAGAAAGGAGTGTCCCTTACAATCGAATGCCATAAGATTTAAACGTAAAACTCTGTATTTTACACGTTTATAATGCGACAGACGAGACGTGTGGCGCCACTCTCATATAGATATGAAATTTCTAATTTGCTTTATGCGTCTGACACTAAATAAATCTTTCGAGAAAAGGGAGAAAATAATATCATATTTACAAGGTGACTTTTGGCATCCATATTCAGTTCTATATTACCACGACATGAATTATGTGACAAGCTGGCGCATCCGCAGTTTGAAACAATAAAAAATACAAAGAAGAAGAAGAAAAAAGAAAGAATAAAACAAAAACAAAGGTTTGGCATGTCGATTTGATCATTTTTGATATAAGAGTTTTGTTAAAATATAAAATCAAAACGCAACAGGGACTGGCAATAAACCTTTGCTATCACACGACCCAGTAAGTATAATTATTTGTCATATACAGTATTCAAAGGACTCCTGAAAACTCCCAAGCACGATACAAAGAAGGACAAGCCGGTTAGTATATACATGTACAGTCTCTTACAGCTGTGCTCAGTTGAATAATTGTCCCTTCCTTCTCTTTCTAATACTCTGGATATATAAAAAAACAGAACAAAACAAAAGGATTTCTGTACAGTCTTCCCCGTTGCCCCAACCTTCCCTGGGAGATTATTGTCCTTTTGAATAGCCAATCCTCTGTCCATTCTGTGATTGGCCTTGACTTAAACCACCTCTATCTCTGTGGCATTGGATGATCTAAAACATTGCTTTCCCTCTCTCAGAGTTCTTTCTGATTGGCTGTTAGATGAACCATTCCTTCTTTGATTCGTCAATGGTTTCTGGGTTGTCGGTGCCGATGATGGCCGTATCCGCTGATTCCGCGGCCGACTCCCCGCTGCCCTTTGCCTCGTTGGTGTGGTAAGTGCCTTTGTGACGGAACATGTAGCGGATCAGGAACACCAGAGTGCATAAGATGGTGAAGATCACCACTGCGATAATACCTGTAGTAGAGACAGAGAGGCTTTTTCAAATACTGCTACCAACCTGCTCTGACCATGAAATTCCTCATATGAGTCAATGTCTAAGCAAAGGCAAACACAGCCTGCTTCTGCCATCTCAACTGGGAGATTAATGTAATTAAAATGTATGTATTGCAATGTTTGCAATGTAATTAGAAACATTAGTGAACTGTAGTCTGTTTTTGGTACTTTTTGGACAGAAAGAAGGAATTTGACTGTCACTTGAAAAGTATAAAGCAGACGTTTTTAATAGTTAACTATGATCAGAATGTCTGTGATGTAGCAGCTCATCCGGGTCACGATCCATCACAACCACTGGTTATTGTAATGTGTGAAGCACAGAGAGCAAATAAATAGTAAATGGGGCACTTAGCACTCAAGGCAGTTTCTTCTACAAGCCTCATTCACCCAATCACACACACATTTATACAAGTGCTTTTTTTTATACCAAAACTCCTTGTCTAACATTTACACACACTCCAGCGGATGCATCAGGTGGCAGCTTGGGGTTCAGTATCTCGCCCAAAGAAACTTTGACCTGCAGACTAGAGTACCCAGGGATCGCCACATTCTACCTCCTGAACCACAGCCGACCCAAGCGATAAAGCCCTGCTCAAATGTTTTGGGCAAGACACTTACCCCTCCCAAAGTAAAAGCTAGTGAAGATCAAAAGGTGCTGCATAAATGCCAACCATGTGGCTGTAGCTCAGGAGGCAGAGAAGGTCACCCACTATGCTGCAGTCTGCATGCCAAGCAAGCTACAGCAAGATACTGAACCCAGAGTTGCTCTCCGTTCCATTTATTAAAGTTTGACTGTCAGATAGAGAGTACTTAGGCTATACTTAGAACTATATAATAAATTATTAATAAACTCACTGAAAACTTTAAAGACCTCTTAAATGTGGAAAATCAATTAGCAATAAAAAAACCCCCATGTTTAAGCACTTTTAACTTGATGATATGATAATGGCACTTTGTACCTCCAATGATGGCAGAGTCCCTGTTGACTCCATCGGGAATCACTCTCTCCTCATTAAAGGGGAACACTGCATCTAAACAAGAAATGAGAGAAAGACACAAAAACAAGCTGATACAACAGTGCACATAGAAATGCCCAGCAGATCAGGAAAGTGCCTTTTATATACGTACGATCTCTATCAACACAGAGCTTAATGGCGTCTCTGACGTTCTTCAGCAGTTAAAAGTCAAAAGGAACGATTGGTTGGAGAACGTTTGCTAATTAATAATGACGTGTCTTTGTCCTGTCTTCCTTTCTTCAACCCTAACCGGTCGTGGCAGATGGCCGCCCGTCCATGAGCCTCGTTCTGCTCGAGGTTTCTTCCTGTTAAAGGGAGTTTTTCCTTCCTGCTGTCACCAAAATGCATGCTCATAGGGGGTCAGCTAGATGCATATAAAATGACTACTGATAGATAAATAAATATATAACTACACCGTCTCATGCATTTCATGGTTTTCATTAATCATTCATCGAGCTCAAGCAGTTTACACGCCTGCTGCCACCG